TCGCATGACTTGTTTTATCACTGCTATACTAGTCATGTTTTATCTAGTATTTCTATTAATAAAATCATTCGGTAAATTGCTCATATTTCCAACAGTTTGGACTTTTTCCTGCCGATATTTTCTCCCTCCTTGCGCACGTTTGCCTGCCTACTGCGCGATTGGCCAATGTATAGACACCGGCCGGCACCGGCGGAATATTCGTGGATGCCAGAGACGATACCGTCGCCGTACCGCACGGCGAAGAACCCTGGGACGTGACGAGCCATGGCCCTCCCTCCCTCTTCCGTCTGTCGGAAAGACGAGGGAGAAGAAGATGACAGAGTACCGGCCAGTACACGCCGCCTTTGGCTTTGCCGCCAGGGCGACCCGCCCCTCTCTCGTCTTCTTTTCTTCTTCTTTTCCGTGGTGCGGAACGCGTACGTGCACGTGAAGGCGGGCGGGCGGGCGGCATTGCAGCGCCCGCGAGATCTGAAACCACCACCTCCATTATTGTAGCTGCTGCAAAGCTGTCCAGCCATGGCGGGCTTGCCTTTCTTCGTCCTTTTCAGGACGTTTCTGGTGTCGCCTTGCTCTTTTCTCCCTTTCCCTACCCTGACCGAGGCTGACACTGCAAGGACTACGGACGATCCATGATTAAGCAGAGCTAAGCACCACGTTTGATTCCCACTTAGTTGATCTATTGACATTATCGTCTGACGAAGACAAGCTACACACATTCAGAGTACCGATGGCGTGTCTTTTTTCATAATTCATTTCTTTCGAGTAGGAAGCACCTGGTGATCTGAGCTGTTGAGCTACAGCTACCAACAATTACTGAATCACCGCACTGCACTCTATGGCTTTCATGTCTGAGCAAACCGCGAAGAAAAATACCGATAATGCAAAAAAACAAAAAACAAAATTGTGCATGCCACCGTGAAATCTCAATCAGATAGGCAAAAGGGCAAACCCAGGCTGGAGGGAGCGGTAGGAGCCCTTCCTGATTATGATAAGCTGAGAGATCGATCGAACAAAACACAGGAGATATACAGGCCTGATTTCATGGGACTAGTTTACTCCCAAACGGGGCAAAGCGAGACAGAAAGCAAAGTGCACTGGGATATACTCTACTTGTTGCAAATATATACTACTATAGAAAAAGAGCAAACCCTAGATGGCCATGGAGGTTATTCTACTACACTACACCCACACTGCCACTAAAGGGCATTGCCGCCATGGATAGGCCACACAGCTGATTTTGCACCCAATTTTGTAAGCCGGATGCCGTGGTTTCAGCAGCACATTGGGCTCATGCAATAGGTCAACCTGCTCTGCCTAACGCACGCAGAGGGGGTATCCTTAGCAGTGAAGCTACCGGTTTGGGCATGCTGCTTGTGTTCTTTTGAATTTTCTTATTAGTGGAGGGGATGACAAAAGCCGAGCCTGTTGTTTTGTAGTTTTCCATGGAATGGAAAGTCTGTCCGTGGAAAAACCGACGGCGGCGGCTCCGTCGATCTCTGCTCCGCTCTGTTTTTCTTGGACCACCTTTAGAAACGTACGAATGCGGAGGAAAATGTCTCGTCGTTGACGGCTGTCAAAGCTTCAAATTACCACGAAAAAGCGGGGGAGCCAAGACTTTGTTAGTTACCGGTTCATATAGGTGTGACCAAATCAAATGGCGTATGGAGAAGATCATTATGAGTTTGTCATTTGCCCCGTCAATATTGTTCTAGCATTTAGGACTTTTAGGTCCTTCACGGATTTTCCAATTTCTTTTGAATTTGTGCAAACACAAAATCATTGCCTTTGGGTACATGGATTATGGAATCTAGCTAGCTAGGTACTAGCACTACCAAGTAATAGAGCGCACTAGCGACCGATCAGCAATGAAAAGCACATCAAGGAAGAAAAGGCAGGGGGAGCCCGGTTCGACGAAGGGCCCAAAGTGGTTAAACAAGTGTTGCCTTTGTTCATGTGTTCGACGGAGCTGCCCCATTCTTCTTCATCTCCACCTCCACCAGAGGGGACACATGTTGGTGAGCACGAGCCCACTTGCTTGGCGCACCGAGAGGCCGCGGGGGTACCACATCAATAATCTCCGACGTCTCCTGCTTCGGTCGCAAACAAAAAAACTGATCATCTGGTTTTCTGTTCACCGTCCATCACTGATTACTCTCTCTTGGTAAGCTTTAGCCCTGTCGTTCATGGCATTTCAGTTAGGCTTCGACCCGGTCATAATTTACCGCTTGTTCAAAAGGTCTCACGGACCATGCATTCCTTAGCATACACTCAATGCAGTGGGCTCCATTGGCCAGGAAAAAAGTTAGTACATGAGTTGCATGAACAAGCAGCGGAGTATCCATGCATCTTTGAGCTCCGAGCTCATGAGTGTCAGCTTTAGTCAAAGGAAGAAGATGAAGAAATACGTACTAGCTAACTAATTAAATTCCTCACTTGCACGCCAAGGAATTCGTGACCTAGCTTTTCTCCGCCCCGGGAATTATGGCCTCTCTCTCCTTTCCTTTTGTCCGGGAACGACAGAAAAAGGCGCGCTGGTTCTCATGAGCGACCGTAGGTACATTGTTGGAGCAATATATGCTTGCGCTGCGCATATATATATTTATTTAGTTTAAGCACAAGGGTTGGCATTTTCTTAATAAGTGAAGCACTGGCATTTTTCAGATCTGTATTATTCGTCAGGATGGGGCGAACCGAAAATGCAAGCAATGTGCGCACTGTGACCACTTTCTGGTCCAGCTCAAATCGAAGAAAGAAAAACTATAGTTAACAATGAACTCAAAATTATCCAGAGTGTTCCTGCAAGGGAAGCTTCCATGAAACCAGGCCCTGCATACCACACCACACCGGCAAGCATCGCTCTTTCTTTGGCTTCACATTTTTGACAGGCTGTTTATATTTTGGCATACACGAGCCCAAGCTCAGCTCTCTCTGTGCCCGTAGCAACATTCGTATTTTCCTCTCCTTTTAGCTTTTTTAAAGGAGTCATTTAGTTAAGCGCCCAATCCTCCGTGTATCGGCATGCTTTTGTACGGTACGATCCCGTTGTATATCCTGGTCTTATCGGCTTGCAGTACAGTTGTTGATCACATTATACTAACCACATACACCTGTGTTATGCCATTAACTAGTAGTGCTAATCGACTTGTTTGATGTGGAGTACGGACTTTAGTTTAATTTCAGGGCGCCTGCTGGTTCTTTCCTGACCGAGACACATGACCAATTCTTTACCACGGATGCCATGCCATGCCGTGCATGTGTGTGGAGCTCATAAATTAAGCGCCGTATCCCGGTGGTAATTTGGCAGCGGATCAAAGCGCTTTTTCGAGCTGGCCAAGCCAAAGCCAAAGCCAAAGCAGGCACGTTAATCTCCTGGCATTTGTTCTTAGCAGCAGCGCCGGCTTTCTCTGCTTTCCTCAGCGCAGATGAGGGTACGTAATTATCCTTTTAAGCAGCGGCTTTCTTGACGCATTGAACCTGTGCTTCACGTTAATCTGCAGCCGGCCGCCGCAATTAGCGTTTGCTAAGTAAGTAAGCTTCTTCTTTCTTCTGGAACGGGAAAGAAAAACATCTTCTTTCCCAACACAGGCTGCCAATTGTAGCGTGATACAGTGACTGATAACCTTGTAGGCTAGCTAGCTACTAAGTTAGTGCTCACCAGCTAGCTGTCGCACGGTGAAAGACATGAAACTTTGTACTAACCTGTACATATAGGTGTAGCCACCTCAGTCACCTCCTCCTGCTTTCTTTATCTGATAATATAGGATGGGATTGCATTGCAAGCCTGAGCTTTTAGAGTTAGGGGGTGAAACTAGGGCAACGGTTCTGAACAGCCCTCGATACGTAGTGCTCACCAGCTGATCACAAGCTGTTCATGCTCCGGAGAGCAGTGGTGAAAAAGTTGTTCCGAAAAAGTTTACCCCGCAAAATAATACTCCCTCCGTTCGAGAATACTTGTCATCAAAATGAATAAAAAGAGATGTATCTAGAACTAAAATACATCTAGATACATCCTCCTTTATCCATTTTGATGACAAGTATTTCCGGACGGAGGGAGTAATAATACCGGAACCCTGAAATGGCAGGGGCTCCTCCGTCCATGCACTACGATGCATTGCGTATTCCGTGTGCCAACGTGGAACGAACCCATGCACGCACGGGACCAAAGCTAGTTCGCAACTTGCAAAGCAGCGCCTACTGCTACGTGCGTAGTACTGTTTGTCTGGAAGCTTCCCGGAAGGCGCCTGAAAACACTATTTATCAGTAACATAATCTCTCCTCGCTCGGCTTTTCCACGTAAACAATTGGCACCTTTCCATACGGTCCGTAAAAAGCACACCATTTCCCACATAATTGCGACATATAAAATGTGGAATAACCAGTAACTTTCCATGCATGAACGGTGCACGCAAACGCCCCTTCTGTTGAAAAATAATGGTAGAAAATGCAAGGAGCCCACGGCGCTGCCGTGCAAGATCACAACTTATCACGGAGTAGTTTCTTAGGCACGAAGAGATATTTCGTTTTGCGGCTGGGTTGGTTAGCTGGCTAGCTAACCCTAACCAAGGATGGTCACCACGTACTCACCGTCATCATCGTCATCGGTGGTCACTACGGGACAATGGCGGTTCAAACAGTGCTTGGCTTTAGCTTAGCTTAGCCACAGCGCACGCCACAGGCCACACAACCAACGTTACGCTCCTCTTCGTTCCTTAATTCTTAAGTCCCATCCGGCCGCGGGCCCCGCGCCGCACCCACGCCTCCCTCCTCCTCGCGCGCCCGCGCGCTCGGGCCTTTAAATACGGCCCGGGCCTCCGCTTCCCATTCGTTCCATTCACCACCTAGCCAAGCAAAGCACTGAGAGCAAAAGTTGTTCCACTCTCTCCATTGCAAAGCAAAGCGAAGCCACCAAAGCCAGCTCCTCGATCTCGGTGACGCGACCTGCAGCGGGCTCGACGGTGATCTCTGCCGTCCGCATTGCCACGGATCACGCGGTGGTGGCCATGGCGACCGACAGGAGGATCCAGCCGGCCCGCAGCGGCGGGGGAGGCGGGTCGTCGCCCGGAGGGGGAGGCGTGGAGCCCGGGCTCGGGAGGCGCCTGCTCCACGTGCTGCGCGCCGTCTACCACATGCTGCGCCGTGGCCTCTGCCGCAAGCGCCTCATGATGGACCTCCACCTGCTGCTCGGCCGCGGCAAGCTCGCCGGCAGGCAGTTCCGGGACCTCCTCGCGCACCAGCCGCTCGCCGGGGGCCACCGCTTCGGCGCCGCGGCCGCGGCCGGCGCCTCCCCGTCCGCGCTCTCGATGTACCAGCACGACCCCAGGGACGTCGAGTTCAGCTGCGAGACCACGCCGGTGTACGAGCAGGCGGTCTTCCCCTTCAAGATCGGCCGCGGCCGCGGCCGGGGCAGGAACTACGGCGGGCTGGACGCTGCCACAGTGGCGGCCGCCTTCGAGATGATGAACGCGCACGCTGCCGCCGGGAACTCGGGCGGGGACACGCCGGGGGTGTCCCGCGCCACGCCGTCGCCCATGCTGGCGCTCAGCTTGGGGCGCTGCCCGGCCGGGGCGCGCCAGCTGCGCGTCACCGACTCGCCGTTCCCCGTCGAGCCGGAGGGCGTTGACGAGCGCGTGGACGCCGAGGCCGACAGCTTCATCAAGAGGTTCTACGAGCAGCTCCGGATGCAGCAGTCGACCACGCCGGACAACTGCACCCGCCGCCGTGGCTAGATCCAGACGCGCCGCGCGCCAGTCCCGGCCGCTTCCGCCACACGCCGCGGTGGTGCGAGGTGCGGGTGCATGGGCGCGAATCCTAAAGCTATATAAATACGTGGCATCGGTCGATTGTTTCACTGTCATGTGGGTCTCGAGTTTTTCTAGCTACCTGCATGCTCTGCTTGTAATTTTCCTCGTTTGTGATAATCTCTCGATAGAGAGCGAGGAGACGAGATAAAAAGAAGGGCTTTGAAGCCCCCCAACTTGTATCTGTCATATCAAGATGATATCATGCATATGAGCTGAAATGATAGAATTTTGCACATTTGCATGCATGTTGTTCGGCCGAGGTGCATGCATGCTAAATTGTTTGATTTCACAAGTGTGCATATGCTTGTGAAAAATGCATAATCCTACCTAGTAAATTGGTTGATTTGTCTATTAATTTATCATGCGGTTTGTATCGATCTGTGTTGGCATGAAGCGCGCGCACACACTTGTCAACTTGGATATACCAAGAAGAACACAACAGATTCATTCCGTACATAATAAGCAACGTACAGCTTATATACCTACCGAGATCGTTCAGATCGCGTACATAAGTCTGACATATGCGGTTCTCTTGTCTTACATGTACAGAGCATACATGCCTTGGATCTTTGGAGATGGAATCATGCAGCTGACCCGTACGTACCATACTGTCTAGTCTTTTAACTTCATGCCCCCCAAGAGAAATGGAAGAACGAGATGATTAAAGAGAGAATATTACCTTTGTTTTTCTTAGGGTGAATGTTACCTTTGTTGCTGCCGTATAATCAATCATAACTTGTCGTTTCCTATTGATTTCAGCCCGTTCACTCAATCTTGCTCATGATTACAACACCACCAGTTGAATTTTTTGGGGTGCACTAGCTTTTGTGTACGTTTTAGGAGTAGTTTTCTGCCTTGAAAGTGAAGTGATTAGGCTTTCTCTATGGTGCTGAGACTTTTAGAATATCCCGGGATCATAAATCTATGCCGGATATATGGTCATGTCATCGTCTTATCGATCTGCAAATTCCATGGTCCCATATATGTTAGGTATATTCACGTATGCACTTATCTCAGTGGACACGTAAGTTGGGCAGATAGTTAGTGCAAGGGCTAGATTAATAAGTGGTTAACCGGTGCCAATTGTCGACACGTCATGATCCAACATTCGAGCAATCGTTTCTCCAATTCTTTGTGGAGAAAATTTCTCCATCTCATTAGAGATAATGTCCTTTAAAATTTTGTAAGGAGTCATGCAGCCGTGCGCTGGATGAATACTTTATATAAGAGGAAAAATATATCGGTCGAGTCATTTTTCTTATACGTAAGGAGTATAAAAATCGAATGATGCTATACGTCCCTCGTCCGATATTTTGTAAAGATCGACCACGTCGGCAACCATTCGATCTGTCCCATGTGGCCTATTGGATCACCGCAACACCGACCATGTTGCAGTTACCCATTGCAACATGGACCATGTTGCGGTCACCTTCGGGTTGTGTGGCGTATTCTTTGTTCAACCATTGCAATATGTACCATGCCGCGGTCACCCATTCCAATATGGATCATATTGCGGTAACCGCGTACATGTGGGTTGACTCTTTGGTTAACCATTGCAACATGTACCATGTTGCGGTCACTCATTGCAACATTGATCATGTTACGGTAACCGCATGCACGTGGGCTAAGCCTTTGGTCACCCATTACAATATGGACCAAGTTGCAGTCATCTGCAACTCCCTCTACAAACACCGCTCATGATCTGAGTGTGCCACCGATGTTGGAATGGATGGTCTCGACGCGATGCTCACACCAATCAACGTTGGGGCCGCCGGTGACGCCCACAATGTTGAAGACATGGAGCTTGAGTGCCGGTGCAAAGGAGCCATTGGTGGACCATGGTGAACTGGCTAGTTCTGGGAGGGTAGTGAGATCGAGTGAGTGGTGGAGAGAAAGGGTCTGGTGGCGCGCTACCATGGGAGCCCTCTCCGTATTGAAGGAGAGATGAGAATGAGGGAGGAAGAAACATGTGGAGGAGAGTTGGGCGAAAGAAATAACATAGGGAGGAGGCGATGGGCAGGCCCCACTTGGACACGTGTCGTGTAGGGAAGACGGGGGACGCATGCGATGTGATCTATCGAGTGATGTCGAGTCTTTCCTATAAAAGAATGTGGTTAGAGCATCTATAGACGGGCTCCGCAACCCCGTCGTCGACGGTAAATCCGACAGACCTCGGGGTAGGGGGTCCTGAGCTGTGGTTCTCGGATCGATGGTAACAAGAGACAAGGGACATGGTGTTCACCATGTTTGGGCCCTCTCGAAGAGGTAATATCCTACGTCCTGCTTTGATCGTATTGTTGGTTGTGTATCGAGTACAATCTTGATCTACCTCCGGTTCGTAAGTTGTGTTCTAACCCTAAGGCTAGGAGGATGTGATTATGATCGGGCCCCTCTACGGGCTAGACCCCTTGGCTTATATATACACTAGAGGCCCACCTAGGGTTACATGGCCCGTTGTTGATCTAGAGATGCGTATGGCGGTGGCCGAAGATGTCCTTGGAGTTCACGTCAAGTATTCAGCCGAGGATATCTTGATCACGTAGAGGTGCGCGTGCTATTTGGTGGACTCTCCCTCACATATATTTCGACTATCAGTGATGGTCGCTTCCCCTTCTTCTCTCGCACATTACCAACATATATCACGAGAAGAAGGAAAGAAAGCGACCCCACGACAATAGTCGGCAACCTTCCTTCAAGAGCAGACTGAAAGTTACTGATAGCTGATGTCTAACTATATCGGTATTTCCCCAAAGAGGAAGGGATGATGCAGTATAGTGACGGTAGGTATTTCCCTCAGTGATGAGACCAAGGTTATCGAACCAGTAGGAGAACCTCCTCACACCACGTAAACAACACCTTCACACAAATAACAAATACTCGCAACTCGACGTGTTAAAGGGGTCACTACAAAAAAAATACACTTCCGTGATGATACGTGTTTGTCACAGTAGGTCGCGTTTTTTGTCATGCATGTACATCCATGACAAATTTATGACAGAATCAAGATAGTCATACCCGTGCTGTCGTAGAAGTGTTCCATGACATTACCAAAATTATCATCACGGAAGTGTCCACTTCCATGATGATAAATCGCGTGTCACAAAAGTGCTTTCGTCAAGGGTGACCGGCACCTGGCATCCACCGTAACGGAACGCCGTTAAGCTATCGGGTCGGGTTTTGGATCCGATAACCCGTTAACAGCCCCGACCAATGGGAAATTTCCACGTGTAAAATTCTTATTGGCCGGACGAAACACGTGTCAGCTCGTCAGTGGGTCAGGTAGGCGCCTATGATATGTCGACACTGTTGGAAATATGCCCTAGAGGCAATAATAAAAGGATTATTATTATATTTCCTTGTTCATGATAACTGTCTTTTATTCATGCTATAATTGTATTATCCGGATATCGTAATACACGTGTGAATACATAGACCACAATACGTACCTAGAAAGCCTCTAGTTGACTAGCTCGTTGGTCAACGAATAGTCATGGTTTCCTGACTATGGACATTAGATGTCGTTGACAACGGGATCACATCATTAGGAGAATGATGTGATGGACAAGACCCAATCCTAAGCATAGCACAAGATCGTGTAGTTCGTTTTGCTAGAGCTTTTCCAATGTCAAGTATCTTTTCCTTAGACCATGAGATCGTGTAACTCCCGGATACCATAGGAGTGCTTTGGGTGTACCAAACGTCACAACGCAACTGGGTGACAATAAAGGTGCACTACAGTTATCTCCGAAAGTGTCTGTTGGGTTGACACGGATCGAGACTGGGATTTGTCACTCCGTATTACGGAGAGGTATCACTAGGCCCACTCGGTAGTGCATCATCATAATGAGCTCAAAGTGACCAAGTGCCTGGTCACGGGATCATGCATTACGGTACGAGTAAAGTGACTTGCCGGCAACGAGATTGAACGAGGTAATGGGATACCGATGATCGAATCTCGGGCAAGTAACATACCGTCTGACAAAGAGAATAGTATACGGGGGTGTTTGAATCCTCAACATCATGGTTCATCCGATGAGAACATCGAGGTGTATGTGGGAGCCAACATGGGTATCCAGATCCCGCTGTTGGTTAATGACCGGAGAGCCGTCTCGGTCATGTCTGCATGTCTCCCGAACCCGCAGGGTCTACACACTTAAGGTTCGGTGACGCTAGGGTTATTAGGAAGACTTGAATGTGATCACCGAATGTTGTTCGGAGTCCCGGATGAGATCCCGGACATCACGAGGAGTTCCGGAATGGTCTGGAGGTAAAGATTTATATATGGGAAGTTGTCATACGGTCGCAGGAAAGTTTCGGGGGCATATCGGTATTGTACCGGGGCCACCGGAGGTGTTCCGGGGGTCCACCGGGAGGGGCCACCCCTCTTGGAGGGCCTCATGGGCCGTAGGGGACAGGGAACCAGCCCCTGAAGGGCTGGGCGCCCCCCCTTTGGGCCCATGCGCCTAGGGTTGGGGGGGAAACCCTAGTGGGGGCGCCCCCCTTGCTTGGGGGGCAAGCCCCCTCCCTTTGCCGCCGCCCCCCCTCTAGACCTCATCTAGAGGGGGCCGGCCCCCTTCCCCCTTCCCCTATAAATAGAGGGGCGAGGGGAGGGCTGCACACAACATCCAAGGCGCAGCCCCTCCCCTCCCCAACACCTCTCCTCCTCCGTTGAGTGCTTGGAGAAGCCCTGTCGGAGTACCGCCTCTCCACCAACACCACGCCGTCGTGCTGCTGCTGGAGCCTTCTTCGTCAACCTCTCCTTTCCCCTTGCTGGATCAAGAAGGAGGAGACGTCATCCGCTCCATATGTGTGTTGAACGCGGAGGTGCTGTCCATTCGGCACTTGGTCATCGGTGATTTGGATCACGGCGAGTACGACTCCATCATCCCCGTTCTCTTGAACGCTTCCGCACGCGATCTACAAGT